CGGGGGCCCCAGTCCCAGGGGGCACAGTCTCTTTGTACTGTAGGGCTGCTTCTGGGGCCTGGTAGGCTTCCACTGCAGGTTTGTGGGGCACCTCGGGGGCTGAGGCCAGTCCCCTGCCAGAGCCCCCATCCGTCTTCTTGTCGGTCCTGTGGACACCAACTCAGGCACTTGAGTCGCTCCATGCTGGGCAGGGAATTCTTTTTTATTTTTTGAGACAGAATCTCACTCTGTTGCCCAGGCTGGAGTGCAGTGGTGCGATCTCAGCTCACTGCAACCTCCACCTCCTGGGTTCAAGTGATTCTCCTGCCTCAGTCCCCCCAAGTAGCTGGGATTACAGGTGCCCACCACCACGCCCGGCTAATTTTTGTATTTTTAGTAGAGACACGGTTTCACCATGTTGGCCAGGCTGATGTCAAACTCCTGACCTCAGGTGATTCGCCCGACTTGGCCTCCCAAAGTTCTGCGATAACAGGCATGGGCCACAACGCCCAGCCCAGGGCAGGGAATTCTTAGGGCTTAAACTTCATGGTCTTCGGGAGGTATGAGCAGGGCAGAGAGTTGGCAAGAGCTGCGTGTTCTGGGACTTGCATCCCAGGGAGAGACTGGGAGGCTGGGAATTCAGGGAAGAGGCTGGACAGAGGGTGGTGGAGAAGTTGGAGGGGAGACCTGGGGCTACGAAGCAGAGTGAATAGTAAGTTGGACTGTGACGGGCACTGGGAAAGTCCTGAAGGTGAGAGACAGAAGATTCTGGAAATGGGGTCTTCTGGGGCAGCGACTCACACTTGTAATCCCAGCACTTTCGGAGGCCGAAGTGGGGGGATCACCTGAGGTCACGAGTTTAAGACCAACCTGGCTAACGTGGCAAGACCCTGTCTCACTAAAAATACAAAAATTAGCTGGGTGTGGTGGCACACACCTGTAATCCCAGCTACTCGGGAAGCTGAGGCTCCCGCTTGAACCCAGGAGGCAGAGGTTGCTGTGAGTGGAGATTGTGCCACTGCACTGCAGCCTGGGTGACAGAGCAAGACTCAAAAAAAAAAAGAAAAGAAAGTCAGGCTGAAGGCAACAGGGAGCTATGGTAGGTGTGTGAGCAGAGAGGGCACATCAGCAGATCTGCAGATGGCAAAGATGCATCTGGACTGGAGTGAAGGGCACAGACCAAGGGGGTCTCACCTGCTTCCTAGGCCTTGGCCACTGACCTCCTCCATGGGGCCCAGCTGTTCCAGCCCGGAGCTCACTGGAGGTGGGGCAAAGCTGAGCTTGGAGCTCCCACTGGCTGCCTCAACCTCCTCTGAACTCTCAGCCACGGGGTCCAGTTCACCCTGCAAATGACCCCCGTGGCCCCACTCTGAGCCAGGCAGGACGGGACCTTGGGGTCCCCAGGAGCTGGGTGTGGAGGGGAGAGGGCGACACTTACGGGTGGAGCATGCCTCCCTCGCCGGCTTCGGGGCCGCGTGGCCCGGGCACTCATTGCTGTCCAGAAGCCAGTGCCCTCTGAATGCTTCTCCTTCGTCAACCCCTAAAACCACAGCCTGCTGTGACCTCTTGCCTTTGTTGTCCTGGACAAGGGACAACCTCAATTTCCTCTGCTGTGAAATGGGACATTGACTACCCCTCAGGAAGGGATTTTGTGATCAATGTTGATTGGGCACATTTGAATGCCTCCCTGGACAGGCAGCTCACTACCTAACAAGGTTGTCTGGATCTCCCCCTTCTTCTCTGCCTTCTTTACCTTCACTACGTCTTTGTCCCCTTCCCTCCTCTATTTGAGCCTGGAAATGCAATCTCAATAATTCCCTCTCCTCCGCGGCCCTCCTAAATGACGGGTTCAGCTCTCTCTACCTCTCTGATCTTCTGGGGGTAACTTGATCAGAGGCCTGAGTCCCTGGACACCGTCTTGGGGTCACTCTGGCCACTGCCTGGTCAGGCCTGGGCTGGCCAAGCCTGGCCTGGGAGGGACCAGGAAACAGGAAACCCCCTCCCCTGGTCACGTGACTTGTTATTGTGTTGTTTCCTTTTTGAGGACAGCGGCTTCCTGCAGCCCTAGCGGGGCACACATACCTGACTCCCAAGGTTTCAGCCCCTCCTCATCTCAGCCTCCAAGCCCATGACCCTTCTAGCTCTGACTCTTGGATTTTATTTCTCAAGAGCTAGAATGGGCCGAGCACCATGGCTCACGCCTATAATCCCAGCACTCTGGGAAGCTGAGGAAGGCAGATCACTTGAGCCCAAGAGTTTAAGACAAGCCTGGGCAACATGGCAAGACCCCCGTCTCTACATAAAATATAAAAATTAGCCAGGAGTGGTGGCATATGCCTGTAGTCCCAGCTACTCGGGAGGCTGAGGTGGGAGGATTGCTTAACACCTGGAAGTTGAGGCTGCAGTGAGCCATGGTCACGCCACTGCACTCCAGTCTGGGTAACAAGGCAAGACCCTGTCTCAAAAAGAAAGAAAAAAAAAAGAGCTAGAATGTTCCCCTGAGCTGATATGGCTTTTATTTGGCTCCCCTGTGAACTCTTCTTCTCTGCCTGTCTCTTCACTGTGGGGACAGTTCTCTTCTCGCTCTGTCGCCCAGGTTGGAGTGCAGTGGTGCGATATTGGCTCACTGCAACCTTTGCCTCCCGGGTTCATACCAGTCTCCTGCCTCAGCTTCCCGAGTAGCTGGGACTACAGGCACCCGCCACCACGCCCACCTAATTTTTTTGTATTTTTAGTAGAGACGGGGTTTCGCCGTGTTAGCCAGGATGGTCTCGATCTTCTGACCTCGTGATCCACCCGCCTCGGCCTCCCAAAGTGCTGGGATTACAGGCGTGAGCCACCACGCCCAACCTTTTTTTTTTTTTTTTTGAGATGGAGTCTCGTTCTGTCGCCCAGGTTGGAGTACAGCAGTGCAATCTCATTGCATCCTCCACCTCCTGGGTTCAAGCAATTCTCCTGCCTCAGCCTGCCGAGTAGCTGGGATTACAAGTGCCCACCACAACACCTGGTTAATTTTTGTATTTTTACTAGAGACAGGGTTTTACCATGTTGGCCAGGCTGGTCTTGAACTCCTGACCTCAAGTAATCCGCCGGCCTTGGCCTCCCAAAGTGCTGGGATTACAGGCATGAGCCACTGCACCCGGCTAGAGATGGGTTTTTGCCATGTTGGCCAGGCTGCTCTTAAACTCCTGAACTCAGGTGATCCACCCGCCTCACCCTCCCAAAGTGTTGGGATTACAGGCATGAGTCATCCACCCCACCAGCCCCAGAAATGTTTAAGAGCCACTTGAAGCCTCAGTTTATTTATTTATTTTATTTTTTTAGATGGAATCTTGCTCTGTCACCCAGGCTGGAGTGCAGTGGCGGGATCTCGGCTCACTGCAACCTCCACCTCCTGGGTTCAAGCAATTCTTCTGCCTCAGCCTTCCGAGTAGCTGTGATTACAGGTGTGCACCACCACACCCGGATAATTTTTTGTAATTTTAGTAGAGACAGGATTTCACCATATTGGCCAGGCTGATCTCCAACTCTTAACCTCGTGATCCGCCCACCTCAGCCTCCCAAAATGCTGTGATTACAAGTGTGAGCCACTGCCCCCAACCCCTCAGTTTTTTTTTTTTAAGGGTCAAAGAAGCCTGCCACATTGGCCAGGCTCTAATTCGAGAATAGCCAGAGGGGCTGTGTAAAGGTGATCTTTGAAGGATGAAGAACTTGCCAGAAAAGCAACAGGAGGAACAGCATTCCAGGCAGAAGGAACTGCCTGGACAAAGGCTTAGAGCCTTCAAAGAGCTGCTCTAGGCGACAGACCTCTGGGCGACACAGAGAGGTTCCTTCTCAAAAAACCAAAACCAAAACCAAAAACCAACAAGAAGGTCGGGTGCGATGGCTCACGCCTGTAATCCCAGCACTTTGGGAGGCCGAGGCGGGCAGATCACGAGGTCAGGAGATCCAGACCAACCTGGCTAACACGGTGAAACCCCGTCTCTACTAAAAATACAAAAAAATTAGGCAGGCGTGGTGGCGGGCGCCTGTAGTCCCAGCTTCTCCGGAGACTGAGGCAGGAGAATGGCGTGAGCCCGGGAGGCGGCGGAGCTTGCAGTGAGTCGAGATCGCGCCACTGCACTCCAACCTGGGCGACAGAACGAGACTCCGTCTCAAATAGATAGATAGATAGATAGATAGATAGATAGATAGATAGATAGATAAATAAATAAATAAATACATAAATAAATAGTTCTGGGGCTAAGGGGAAGTGTGCACTAAGACAACGGCGGCCTGGGCGACAGAGTGAGACTCCGTCTGAAAAAAAAAAAAAAAAAGGAAGGCTGGTTTAGCCTGAGCGGTGGTCCTCGCCTGTAGTCCCAGCTACTTGAGAGATCGCTTAGCTGTAGTGACTAGCCAGGATCGCGTGACTGCAGTCTAGTTTGGGCGACAGAGCGATACCCTGTCTCTAAAAATAAGAAAGAAAAAAGCCATGAAAAAGGAGGCAGGCTTGAAATAGGCCTGACTTAGCTTCCCTCCACCTACAGTGACCCAATAAGACCAGAGTAAGTATTTTTTGATTCATGCAAATATATGTAAAATAAGGAGCAGGAATTAAGTAGTTGGGAGGGGTCCTGGATGTTTAGGCCACGCCCACATGGGAATAGCTGCCTCACACAGAGGCTCAGACCAGCTTCACCAATCACCAATCAGCTCCTCCTCTTTCCCTAAATCGGCCTTCGTCGTCCCTCTTAGCCTATCACATTGCAAACTCCACCTGTAGTCCACGTTTTAGCCTATCAGGGTAGAAGCACTGGCGCTGTCGCACTCCAAACCCCACCCCCTAGCCCAGTATTAGCCTATCAGCTTCCAAGTCCTTCCTAGCCGCAACTAGTTTCTGTCTCCGCTTGTTCTGCGACTCGCTGAACTACATTTCCCAGGAGGCGTCGGGGCTGCGCCGCACAACTTCCGGCTGTAAAGATGGCGGCTTCCTAGAGAGTCGGCGGCTGATTTAGAAGGCGGCTCAGGCTACGGTGAGCCGAAGTTGGGTGGTGAAAGCGTGCGGGGCCTGTTCCTAGGGACCCAGCTCCCTTTGCCCCGAGAGATCCAGCTCCTAGCCTTTCCTGGGGCTTCCGCCTTTATTTCTGGTTTCTCCTGCAGTCTAGCCTCCATCCTTCTTGCTGTCACTAAAGCTTTGTTTTCGTTAGAGGCGTGGGGACTGCAAGGCGCTCAAAGACCATCTTGGGAAGCCCGTGCCTATTGCCCAGATAGACAGACTGTTCCATTCGTGTCCTGTTTCTCTCCAAGAGGAACCACAGTCCTAATATTTTGCTTCTCCCTCATGCAGACACCCGCTAGGCACGAGGGTGTCCTAGAGGTTATTATTCCTTTATTCACTAAGACGTTTTCAGTTTTAGGTAACAGAAAACCCTACTCAATGTGGCTTAAGGAAGAAAAGGAAGTTAGTGGCTTATAGATTGGGTCTAATAGGAGCTGGGTCCAGGTGGTCAGAATTCGATCAGCAGTTTTCTGGGTAGAGACCATTTCGCTTTTTACTTTAGAGGCAAAAGGGGCCCCTCGCAGCTCTCAACTTTATTCTCCCAGCTTTGCAACTCTAATGGGAGTCTCTTTTCCTTGATGGCAGTGTTAGAAGTTGCAGAGCTGCCACTCAATGGCCTGATTTGGGTCATGTGCCCATCCCCGAGCCATTTTCAGTGGCCAGAGAGCTGGGATGTGCTCACTGGCCGAGTAGGGGCATGAGGCTAGCACTACGTTAAAAAAAAAAAAAAAAAGAGGAAAAAAGAGAGGGGACTGTTATCTTATGTCAGAGTGACTGCTCGGCTGATAGGTGTAAAAGGCACTCGTTCTACAGCTGAGGAAACATACTCCCTAAGAGGAGTGACTCATCATCAGTAAGTGGCTCATGGCCCCTCTTCCTTCTTAGTCAGCAAATTTTTTTTTTTTTTTTTTGAGACAGTTTCACTCTTGTCGCCCAGGGTGGAGTGCATGGCGGGATTTCGGCTCACTGCAACCACCCCTCCCAGGTTCAATTGATTCTCCTGCCTTAGCCTCCCGAGTAGCTGGGATTACACGCATGCACCACCACGCCTGGCTAATTTTGTATTTTTAGTAGAGATGGGATTTCTCCATGTTGGTGAGGCTGGTCTCGAACTTCCAACCTCAGGTGATCCGCCTGCCTCGGCCTCCCAAAGTGCTGGGATTACAGGCGTGAGCCACCATGCCTGACCATAACCAAATGTTTTTAAAACTCCCAAGGGGAGGATTCTGGCTTCCCCTGTCCGTGTTCCATCTAGCCACACAGGAGCCATGGAAGTGGCGGAGCCCAGCAGCCCCACTGAAGAGGAGGAGGAGGAAGAGGAGCACACAGCAGAGCCTCGGCCCCGCACTCGCTCCAATCCTGAAGGGGCTGAGGACCGGGCGGTGGGGGCACAGGCCAGCGTGGGCAGCCGCAGCGAGGGTGAGGGTGAGGCCGCCAGTGCTGATGATGGGAGCCCCAACACTTCAGGAGCCGGCCCTAAGTCCTGGCAAGTGCCCCCGCCAGCCCCTGAGGTCCAAATTCGGACACCAAGGGTCAACTGTCCAGAGAAGGTGGTAAGTAGAAGGGGTGGCCTGGGGCTCTAAAATGCTAGGAAACCTAGCATCTTGTCTTTTGGGAGTTCACCGTGGAGACGATTCCCTCTTCGCTCTCTAGTTACTGTGGGCTGCACGCGATTGTCACCGCCATGGACTTGGTAGCTTTCTTTTTTTTTTTTTTCTTTTGAGCGGAGTCTTGCTCGTGCTCACGAGGCTGTCGCGTGCAGTCGGCCGGATCTCAGCACTCACTGCGCAAGCTCTTCCCTCTCGGGTTCACGCCATTCTCCTCGCCTCGCGGGGGGTCCCAGAGTAGCTTGGGACTTACAGGCCACCGCAGCTCTGCCGGCCTAGTTTTTTGTATTTTGCCCGCTCGAGACGGGGTGGTTTCACAATGTTAGGCCAGGATGGTCTGCAGATCTCCTGACGCTCGTGATCCCCCGTCTGCGTCCAAGAGTGGGAGTCGTACAGGCTTGGCCACCGTCCGCCCGCGCCGACCTTGTAGTTTTTCAACCAGGGAGAAATTTATTCGTCTCACAGCTTCGTTGGGCCAGGAAGTCAGGTGTCGGCAGGGCCACGCCCCTCCTGCGAGGCCCTAAGGGAGGATTCTTTCGTTGGCGCTCTTCTTTGGGTCTGTCTGTCTGGTTTTTTTTTTTTTTTTGAGATGGAGTTCATCGCTCTTATTGCCCAGGCTGGAGTTGCATGTGGCACGATCTTGGTCAATTGGCAACCTCTGCCTCAGACGGGGTTCAAGCAATTCTCCCTGCCTCAAGCCTTCCCGAGTAGCTAGGGATTAGAAGCGTGGCGGCCACCCGCCCGGCGTAATTTGTATTTATTAGTTAGAGACAGGGTTTCACCACGATGTGGCCGAGGCTGGTCTTGAACTCCTGACCTTAGGTGATCCGCCTGCCTTGGCCTCCCAAAGTGATGGGATTATAGGCATGAGCCACCCCACCTGGCCCCTTCTTGCCTCTTCTAGCCTCTGGTGGCTCCTGGCATTCCTTGGCTTATGGCTCCATCACTCTAGTCTTTGCCCAATTTTTTTTTTTTTTTTTTTGAGACAGAATCTCACTCTGTCGCCCAGGCTGGAGTGCAGTGGCACGATCTCAGCTCACTGCAACCTCCACCTCCTGGGTTCAAGTGATCCTCCTGCCTCAGTGCCCCTAGTAGCTGGGACTACAGGCGCATGCCACCACACCCAGCTAATTTTTAGGAGAGACGGGATTTCACCATGTTGGCCTGGCTGGTCTCGAACTCCTGAGCTCAGGTGATCCACCCGCTTTGGCCTCCCAAAGTGCTGGGACTAGAGGCGTGAGCCACTGCTCTCGGCTGTCTTTGCCCAATTCTGTCCAGTCCTCATAAAGCCTTTCTCACTGTCTTCTCTTCTGTCTCCTATAAGGATACTTGTCATCAAAATAGGATCTTATCTCAAGACCCTTTCTTTAATTACATTTGCAGAGACCCTGATTCCAAATAAGGTCACATTCTTTTTTTTTTTTTCCTTGAGATGGAGTCCCGCTCTGTCATCAGGCTGGAGTGCAGTGGCGTGATCTCAGCTCACTGCAACCTCCAGCTCCCTGTTTCAAACGATTCTCCTGCCTCAGCCTCCCGAGTAACTGGGATTACAGGCACTCGCCACCACACCCAACTACTTTTTGTATTTTTTAGTAGAGACCAGGTTTTACCATGTTGGCCAGGATGGTCTTGATCTCCTGACCTCATGATCTGCCTGCCTTAGCCTCCCAAGGTGCTGGGATTACAGGTGGGAGCCACCATGTCTGGCCTCTTTTTTTTTTTTTTTTTTTTTGAGACAGAGTTTTACTCTGTCACCCAGGCTGGAGTACAGTGGTGCAATCAGGGCTCACTGCAACCTCCATCTCCCGGGTTCAAGCAATTCTCTTGGTTTAGCCTCCCAAGTAGCTGGGATTACAAGTGCCTGCCACCACACCTAGCCAATTTTTTGTATTTTTAGTAGAGATGAGGTTTTGCCATGTTGGCCAGGCTGGTCTCAAACTCCTGACCTCAAGTGATCTGCCTTCCTTGGCCTCCCTAAGTGCTGGAATTACAGCTGTGAGCCACTGTGCCTGGCCAAATAAGGTCACATTCTCAGGTTCTGGGTGGACATGTCTTTTGGGAGCCACAGTTCGACCTGCTATATGCTCATTTCTGTGTTTCTGTGTCACACATTGTCTGGCTCATTGATTTGCTTTTCTACATGGACTCCCAGTTCAGCGCCCATGCTTCTAAGCCATTGCTTTTCAAAGTGGATGGCTTGGCTCACGATTAGGGGTCACCGTACTGCCTTTTCAGACAGGGCAGCTTGAAGAGGGCCAGTGAGTGGTGTGGGGGCCAATGTTAGGGTCAGAGGACGCTCACCACCCTCCAACTACCTTGCAGATTATCTGCCTGGACCTGTCAGAGGAAATGTCACTGCCAAAGCTGGAGTCGTTCAACGGGTAAGAGGGACATTTTAGGGCTTGAACATGCGGCCATGGCCGGGAGGGTCCAGCCCAAAAGATACGGGGCTCTTACTCTGAAACTCACACCAGCTTGGTCTGGCTTCAGGCCTGGCAGTATCAGAGAGTAGCAAGAGCCAGGTGCAGTGGCTCATGCCTGTAATCCCAGTGACTCAGAAGACTGAGATAGGAAGATCACTTGAGGCTAGGAGTTCAAGACTAGTCTGGGCAACATGGACCCCATCTCTCTAAAAAAATATATATATATATGTATATGTATTTATTCATTTATTTGTTTTTGAGACAGGGTGTTGCTCTCTTGCCCAGGCTGGAGTGCAATGGAGTGAGCTCAGCTCACTGCAACCCCCACCTCCCAGGTTCAAGTGATTCTTGTGCCTCAGCCTCCCGAGTAGCTGAGATTACAGGCATGTACCACCACGCTCGGTTAATTTTTGTATTTTTAGTAGAGACAAGTTTTGCCATGTTGGCCAGGCTGGTCTCAAAACTCCTGATCTGAAGGCTGCCTGCCTTGGCTGGGCATGGTGGCATGTTCCTAGACTCCCAGCTACTTGGGAGGGCAAGCTGGGAGGATCGATTGATCCCAAGAATTTGAGGCTGCAATGAGCTATGATTTTGCCAACACACTCCAGCCTGGGTGATAGAGCGAGACCTTGTCTCTTTTTTTTTTTTGAGACAGAATCTCGCTCTGTTACCCAGGCTGGAGTGCAGTGGCGCTATCTCCGCTCACTGCAAGCTCCCCCCCAGGTTCAAACAATTCTGCCTCAGCCTCCTGAGTAGCTGGAATTATAGGCGCCTGCCATCACACCTGGCTAATTTTTTTGTGTTTTTAGTAGAGACGGGGTTTCACCGTGTTAGTGAGGGTGGTCTCGATCTCCTGACCTTGTGATCCACCCGCCTCAGCCTCCCAAAGTGCTGGGATTACTTTGGGAGGCCGAGATGGGTGGATCACGAGGTCTGGAGTTTGAGACCAGCCTGGCTGACATAGTGAAACCCCCACCTCTACTAAAAATACAAAAATTAGCTAGGCACAGTGGTGCATGCCTGTAGTCCCAGCTATTCGGGAGGCTGAGACAGGAGAATCACTTTAATCCGGGAGATGGAGGTTGCGGTGAGCCGAGATCACGCTATTGCACTCCAGCCTGGGCAACAAGAATGACACTCCATCTCACAAAAAGTAAAATAAAAAAAGAGTAGCAAGGACAACTGGTAACGTTAAGGCTATGACCCATTGAGCCTCCATTCATAGCAATGACTTGGAGATGCCAAGAAGCAAAGTGACCTGCTGAGTTGAGGGCTCAGAGCAATGGGGCAGAGCCAGGATTGGGACCCAGGTCCAGCTGGCCCTGAAGCCCTTGTCTGGAGTCATGTGCTGCCTACACATGATACTTGTCTGGAGTCATGTATCTGGGGTAGGGGGCAGTTTGAGTGGCAGGGCCTGGATGGGGCTTGAGGGCCTCCTTGGAGATGTTGAAGATGGCACCTCCTTCCCCTCAGCGGCAATCAGCCCATGGCTGAGCAAAGTTCCTGCAGTGAGTCTAGAGGAACCTTGATCCCCATATGCACAGAGGGACCATTTGGAGAGGGCAGGAGCTCAGACGTCAGCCAGACTACTGGGTTTGTGACCTGTACCTCTAGGGCCTTATCTAGCTGGTACAGGGTTCTCAGAGGAGGGTAGCTGAAGGAATCTTTTTTTTTTTTTTTTTTGAGACAGAGTCTCGCTCTGTTGGAGTGCAGTGGCACGATCTTAGCTCACTGCAACCTCCGCCTTCCAGGTTCAAGCAGTTCTCTGACTCAGCCTCCTGAGTACCTGGGATTACAGGCGCCCGCCACCACGCCTGGCTAATTTTTTTGTATTTTTAGTAGAGACGGGGTTTCACCATCTTGGTCAGGCTGGTCTTGAACTCCTGACCTCGTGATCCACCCGCCTCGGCCTCCCAAAGTGCTGGGATTACAGGCGTGAGCCACCGCGCCTGGCCCTGAGGGAACCTTAATTCCCCTCTACTCTGCTTCTCCAGCTCCAAAACCAACGCCCTCAACGTCTCCCAGAAGATGATCGAGATGTTCGTGCGGACAAAACACAAGATCGACAAAAGCCACGAGTTTGCACTAGTGGTGGTGAATGACGACACGGCCTGGGTGAGGTCTGGGCAGGCGCTGGGTGCCCGGGGGTCCCCTGGGGCCCGGGGAGCACCGCGCTGAGGCCTTTGCTTCCCTGCAGCTGTCCGGCCTGACCTCCGACCCCCGTGAGCTCTGCAGCTGCCTCTATGATCTGGAGACGGCCTCCTGTTCCACCTTCAGTATCCTTCCTGGCAGGGGTGTCCCTGTGAAGGGGGCTGTCTCCTTCTGTCGTCCTTGGGGCTCAGGAAAGTCTGAGTCCTGACTCTGGCTGGCTGAAGTTCAGATCTCGGTCCTGCCAAGGCTGGGAAAGTCACCCGTCTGAGCCTCAGTTTCCCCATCTGTACTGTGGAAGGCACAAAGCTGCCTACCCCATGGAGATGCTGTAATAATACAGAAGTGAAAGTACTTCATTTGGTCCAGGCACGGTGGTCCCCGCCTGTAATCCCAGCGACTTGTGAGGCTGAGGCTCAAGAATCACTTGAACCCGGGAGGCAGAGGTAGCAGTGAGCTGAGATCGCGCCACTGCACTCCAGCCTGGATGACAGAGTGACACTCCATCTTAAAAAAAAAAAAAAAGTACCTTATTTGTACTTAGGAGGTCCAGAATTTACCCACAAGGGGATCACCTCACACAGGGCTGGACATACAGTTAATGCTCAATAAATGGCAGTGTGTGACAGAAATGTCATCATTCCTCCTACAGCCCCTTGAACCTGGGCGCAGGACATTTTATGGTAATTTGGACATAAAAGGCTCATATGTGGCCCCAAACTGAAATAGAATAGGACTCTTCTAAGTTAAAAGGTAAAAAATGGTTAGAGTTTTTTTCAGGAGGACAACACCACCCCTGGCTCTTTTGTTTTGAGGACAGTGGCCCCAGCCATGCAGGAAAGGGGAGCTTTTTTTTTTTGCTTTTTTTTTTTTTTTTTTGAGACGGAGTTTTGCTCTCATTGCCTTGGCTAAGTGCAATGGTGCAATCTTGGCTTATTGTAAGTTCCACCTCCCAGGTTCAAGTGATTCTCTTGCCTCAGCCTCCCAGGTAGCTGGGATTATAGGTGTGCACCACCACACCTGGCTATTTGATGTTCTGTTTTTTTTGGAGACGGAGTTCGCTCTGTCACCCAGGTGGGAGTGCAGTGGGCCAGGATATCAGCGCTCACTGCAGGCTCCGCCTCCCGGGTTCACGCATTCTCCTGCGCTCAGCCCCGGAGTAGCTGGGGAGTACAGGCGCCCGCCACCTCTCGCCCGGGCTAGGTTTTTTTTTTTTTTTTGTATTTTTTAAGTATGAGAGCGGGGGTTTTACCGTGGTTAGCCAGGATGGTCTCGATTCTCCTGACTGTGATCCGCCCGTCCTCGAGCCCTCCAAAGTGTGGATTACAGGCGTGGCCACCGCGCCCCGGCCCTTTTTTGTTTTGTTGTGAGACAGAGTCTCGCTCTGGTCGCCAGGCTGAAGTGCAGTGGGCTGGATCTCGCGTCACTGCAAGCTCCGCCTCCCAGTGTTACGCCATTTCTCCTGGCCTCAGCCTCCCGAGTAGCTGGGACTACAGCCGCCTGCCACCTCACCCGGCTAGTTTTTTTGTATTTTTTAGGAGAGATGGGGTTTCGCCGTGTTAGCCAGGATGGTCTCGATCTCCTGACCTCGTGGTCCGCCCGTCTCGGCCTCCCAAAGTGCTGGGATTACAGGCTTGAGCCACCATGCCGGGCGAATTTTGTATGTTTTTTAGAGACGGGATCTTGCTATGTTGCCCAGGCTGGTCTTGAATTCCTGGGCTCAAGTGATCCTCCCACCCCAGCCTCACAAAATGCTGAGATTACAGGCATGAACCACCATGCCCGGCCCCATTCTGTTTTAAAACAAATTAGATTCCGTCCCATCTCTGCTCCAAAACCTCCCATGGTGCCCTGTGGATCTTATTTATTATTGTTTTTGAGATGGAGTCTCACTCTTGTTGCCCAGGCTGGAGTGCAGAAACATGATCTCGGCTCACCACAATCTCCGCCTCCCGAGTTCAAGCAATTTTCCTGCCTTAACCTCCCAAGTAGCTGGGATTACAGACATGCGCCACCAGGCCCGGCTAATATTGTATTTTTAGTAGAGATGGGGTTTCATCATGTTGGCCAGGCTGATCTCGAACTCCTGACCTCAGGTGGTCCACCCGCCTTGGCCTCCCAAAGTGCTGAGATTGCAGGCATGAGCCACTGTGCCTGGCATACCAAGAGTCTTAAAGTCATCTGGTGCCAGCACCCTATTTTGTGATCCATGCTGAGGGGAATTGGAGTATCAGAGAGGGCAAGTGACTTGGCCAGGGTCACATGGTGCGTCTGCAGGGGTGCCGGGTCTCCTCTGGCGTCAGGACCAGGGAAGCCACCTGTTCCTGCTCACTCGTGCTCTACCAGCCTTCTCCTTAGCGTCCCCACCAGATCTGGAAGGACTTTTCAGCCTCATGTAAGTCCCCTGGGGAGAAATTCTTACCTTCAAAGAGAAGGATCACTTGTGGGAAGAAGCCCCAAGTAGCCCAGAAATAATCTAGGGAGCCTTAAAGCCTCCTCCCTTCCAACCTCGCCCTGAGCAATTCCTCTTTTATGTGTCTTGGGAGCATGGGGGCCGATGGAGATGCACGTGTTGCTAGGCAGCTCCAGCTGACAGCAGTGATGGGGGATGCTCAGGACACTGAGGGTGGTCCAGGCGTGGTGGCTCAGGCCTGTAATCCCAGCACTTTGGGAGGCCGAGGCAGGCAGATCTCCTGAGGTCATGAGTTTGAGACCAGCCTGGCCAGCGTGGTGAAAGTGCATCTCTACTAAAAATACAAAAATTAGCTGGACGTGGTGATGGGCGCCGGTAATCCCAGCTACTTGAGAGGCCGGGGCAGGAGAATTCCTTGAACCTGGGAGGCAGAGGTTGCAGTGAGCCGAGATCTCACCATTGCACTCAGAGGGGTGAGGCTGGCCACATGCTCAGGGCAGAGGGAACCGCTTACGGGACGCCTCACAGGCAGCAGTGAATTTGGGAGACATCAGTGGGGCCTCACCTGCCCGGTGAGCATCTAGGGTCTCTCTGAGGGTGATGACAGGGTCAGGCTGCTCTGACTGCTCCCTCCTCCCGGGTGTGCAGCCAGCAGAAAACTGAGCTTCCGGTCACAGAGAACGTGCAGACGATTCCCCCGCCATATGTGGTCCGCACCATCCTCGTCTACAGCCGTCCACCCTGCCAGCCCCAGTTCTCCTTGACGGAGCCCATGAAGGTGGGTGAGGCCTGGGAGAGGGAGGGGTGCCTGCAGCCATGAGGATGGTGGTTAGACACCAGGAGGGACTTCCCAACCACAGAGGCTGGGGTGCCTAGAGGCAAGTTCCCAGAGTCTGAGGCAGAAATAGGGGAGTTATAGACGTGGGGCATGGGGTGACCCAAGCCCCAGAGGCTGGTGTTCTTTACTTCCCCCACAGAAAATGTTCCAGTGCCCATATTTCTTCTTTGACGTTGTTTACATCCACAATGGCACCGAGGAGAAGGAGGAGGAGATGAGCTGGAAGGTGAGAGGCCGCAGCAGGTGTGAGTGGCAGGCGGGCGTGGACAGGATGTCTTGGAACACACCTGCGCTGGGTCTGGGGGTCTTTACCTCCATTTGGTAGCCCTGGAGCCCTGGCCGGGGTGGGTCATGGCATTTGGTCATTGAACAACTGTTTCCCAGTTGTCTGCTGTGAAAGCCATTGGGAGGCCGGGCGCGGTGGCTCAAGCCTGTAATCCCAGCACTTTGGGAGGCCGAGACTGGCGGACCACGAGGTCAGGAGATCGAGACCATCCTGGCTAACATGGTGAAACCCCGTCTCTACTAAAAAATACAAAAAAACTAGCTGGGCGAGGTGGCGGGCGCCTGTAGTCCCAGCTACAGGGGAGGCTGAGGCAGGAGAATGGCGTAAACCTGGGAGGCAGAGCTGGCAGTGAGCTGAGATCCGGCCACTGCACTCCAGCCCGGGCGACAGAGCAAGACTTCGTCTCAAAAAAAAAAAAAAAAAAAAAAAAAAGAAAGCCATTGGGACGATGGTCCAGGCAAACATCTTGAGTCCTGCCTCCCCCATCCCCAGTGTTCCTTGCTTTCCTTTCTTTTTTTTTTGTTTGAGACAGAGTCTCCGTCTGTCTGTCTCCCAGGCTGGAGTGCAGTGGCACGATCTCGGCCCACTGCAACCTCTGCCTCCTGGGTTCAAGCAATTCTCGTGCGTCAGCCTCCCGAGTAGCTGGGAATACAGGTACCTGCCATCACACCAGGTTCATTTTTGTATTTTTAGTAGAGACGGGGTTTCACCGTGTTGGCCAGGCTGGTCTTGAACTCCTGACCTCAGGTGATCTGCCTGCCTCAGCCTCCTAAAGTGCTGGGATTACAGATGTGAGCCACCACAACCGGCTCCCTCTTCCCTTTCTTCCTGCCTTTGACCTCGCTGTGCCCTCAGCCTGGAGCATCCATCCCTCTTGGACTACAAAGGCCCTGCTGGGCCTTCACATCCCAGACGTGAACTAGCTGTGGGACTTCGAGTGGACTACTTACTTCTCTGAACCTCAGTTTACCCAACTATGAACAGGGAGTTGAGACCAGCTCCTCCTCATACTTCAATACCCAAATCAAAAGTCCCCTCTCTTGCCAGGCGTGGTGGTGTATGCCTGTGGTCCCAGCTACTCGGGAGGCTGAGACAGGAGGCTCCCTTAAGCCCGAAAGGTGGAGATTGCAGTGAGCTATGATCAAGCCACTGCACTCCAGCCTGGGTGACAGGGCGGAGACCCTGTGTCAAAAAATAAAAATCGGGCCAGGCAGCGGTGGTGCATACCTGTAATCCCAGCACTTTGGGAGGCCGAGGCAGGTGGATCACCTGAGTCACGAGTTCGGACCAGCCTGACCAATAGTAGAAACTGTGTCTCTACTAAAAATACAAAATTAACCGGGCATGGTGGCGCACGCCTGAAATCCCATCTACTCAGGAGGCTGAGGCAGGAGAATCGTTTGAACCTGGGAGGTGGAGGTTGTGGTGAACTGAGATGGTGCCATTGCACACCAGCCTGGGAACCACAGTGAAACCCCGTCTCAACAAAAAAAAAAAGTAAAATAAAAAGTCCCTCCTCTGAGAAGCCCTCCCTGTTTTTCAAGAAGGATCAAAGTGGGGGCCAGGAGAATGTGTCTGTATCTGACTGTGTCTCTCCACTTGGGACTCTGGGATCCATGACTGGGACCTCTTCGGATCCCTAACACTGGGTCTATGGCAGGGAATGTTTGCTCAATGTATGAATGGTTTCTGCTTGGCAAACTCCTCTTCACCCTTTAGAACCCACCCCAGATGTCCCCTCTTCTGAGAAGCCCTCCAGGGATATGAAGGGCCTGTTGGGGTAACCTCTGCCTGAACAGCCCTTCACTGACCCCCGCCCCTCCCCAGGACATGTTTGCCTTCATGGGCAGCCTGGATACCAAGGGTACCAGCTACAAGTATGAGGTGGCGCTGGCTGGGCCAGCCCTGGAGTTGCACAACTGCATGGCGAAACTGTTGGCCCACCCCCTGCAGCGGCCCTGCCAGAGCCACGCTTCCTACAGCCTGCTGGAGGAGGAGGATGAAGCCACTGAGGTTGAGGCCACTGTCTGAATCATCCCTGTACATCTGCATCTTCTTGTGCAAGGAAGTCCTTGGCCTAAAGCCTTGGTTCTCATACTGGGTTCCTTGGGACCTCTGGGGTCAGGGGGTTCCAGGAGGCACCTAGGGTACCTTGTGGGGTCCTAGGAGGGAAACCCAGGATTCCAGGAGGGATCTCAGGAACTGTGGGCACCCATCTTCCGTGTTTCCCAGCCCATTTCCACTCCTAGTTTGTCATGGATAATTTTTGTTCTTCCCTGTGTGATTTTTGCCATCAAAATAAAAATTTGAGACTCGTTAACCGAAGTCCACACCCATCACTTTGCGTTAATTGGGATCACCTTCATTGCAAGTGACAGAAAACTTAGCCACTGAGCAAAGGTGAGTGGCTGCTTTCTTGTGGATGAAAAAGCCCCTGGGACGCAGAGGTTGCAGCGAGTTGAGATCGCACCACTGTACTCCAGCCTGGTGACAGAGCGAGAGCTTTTCTCAAATAAAAATGAAAAGTTCAAAAATAAAAAAGATGAAAAAGCCAAGAGAACAGCTTCAGGCTTGGCTGTATCCAGGTGCTAGGACAACATTGCCATTGGGGAGGGTACTACATGATTGCCAGTCAATGTGCCCTGCTTACCCCCCAACAAACGGAAAGGTGTATGATGGCTCCAACCACTCCCCAGACCCCAACCCAGGTCAAGGCAGAGTTCTCTCAGCACCTGGATATGACTGGACTTCCCTGGGGGGTTACATGACCTTCAGTTAAGAGCTAGTCATGTGCCAGGGTTGTATGATGTTCTGATCAGCCAGGCCTGGATCATACGTCCCTAAGAGGGAGGTTTAATACCTCCATCAGCAGTAGTGAGGCCATGATAGGAGGGTTGCTTGAGGCCAGGAGTTCAAGACCACCCTGGACAACATAGCAACATTTCCTGTCTCTACAGGAAATGTAAAAATTAGCCAGGCTTGGTAGCTCACACCTGTGATTCCCAGCTACTTGGGAGGCTGAAGTGGGAGGATCACTTGAGCCTAGGAGGTCAAGGCTGCAGTGAGCTGTCATCGCACCACTGCACTCCAGCCTGGGTGACAGAGCAAGACCCTATCTGAAAAGTAAACACAAATAGCTTTATTGAGTGACTGCTTTTCCTCCCTATGAACGTTTTTCGGGAACCTATTGTGTGTGTGTCAGACCCTTGTGCCCAAGCCCCTGTTCAATCCCCGCATCAACTTCGTTAGGATTCTCATATTTTGCAGATAGGACACCTAAGACTCAGAGGTCCAGCCCTCCAAAATACTGAAGTCCTAGTTGCGCTGGATTGAAAATGGGCAACACAGAACGAGGGCTGGAAATTTTTAAAAAGATTGTTTTTAAAGACAGGGTCTTGGCCAGGCGTGGTGGCTCATGGCTGTAATCCCAGCACTTTGGGAGACCGAGGCGGGCAGATCACAAAGTCAGGAGTTCAAGACCAGCCTGACCAACCTGGTGAAACCGTCTTTACTAAAAATACAAAAATTAGCCAGGCAGATGGTGCATGCCTGTAATCACAGCTACTGGGGAGGCTGAGGCAGGAGAATCGCTTGAACCCGGGAGGAGGAGGTTGCAGTGAGCTGAGATCACACCACTGCACTCCAGCCTGGGCAACAAGAGCAAAACTCCGTCTCAAAAAAAAAAAAAATTAATAAATAAATAATAAAGACAAGGTCTCTGCCTGTAATCCCAGCAGTTTGGGAGGCTGAGGCAGGCAGATCACCTGAGGTCAGGAGCTCGAGGCCAGCCTGGACAACATGGTGAAACCCCATCTCTACTGAAAATACAAAAATAAGCCGAGCATGGTGGCGCATGCCTGTAATCCCAGCTACTCAGGAGGCCGAGGCAGGAGAATAACTTGAACCCGGGAGGCAAATGTTGCAGTGAGCCCAGATTGCGCCACTGCACTCCAGCCTGGGCAACCGAGTAAGATCTGTTTCAAAAACAACAACAACAACAACAACAACAACAACAACAAACAAACAGACATGGCCTCACTCTGTTGCCGAGGCTGGTCTCAAACTCCTGCACTCACAAAAAGAAAGGAAAAATAACAACAAACTAGTAGCCTCAAGCGATCCTCCTGCCTCAGCCTCCCAAAGCACTATGATTAAAGGCCTGAGCCGGGCCCTCGGCCTGGGGGTTGGAAATTGAAGCCTCTATTTTATGTATGTATGTATGTATGTATTCATTTACTTGTTTATTTTCTGAGACAGAGTTTTGCTCTGTTGCCCAGGCTGGAGTGCAGTGGTGTGATCATGGCTCACTGCATCCTCGAACTTCCGGGCTCAGGAGATTCTACCGACTTAGCCTCCCAAGTAGCTGGGACCATAGGCGCAAGCCACCACGCCCGGCTAGTTTTTTGTATTTTTTGTAGGGACAGGATTTATCCAAGTTGCCCAGGCTGATCTCGAACTCCAGAGCTCAAGCAACCCTCCTGCCTGGGCCTCCCGAAGTCCTGGGATTACAGGTGTGAGCCACCGTGCCTGGCCTAAGCCTCTCATAAGGCCGTGCGCCCTCTCAGAGGCCACCCTTGCAGAAGATTCCCTGAGACTTAAAGACCTGGGGCACCCCGGACTTTCCTAATCGTAGCTCCACCCACTCGAGGCGGGTGCCTTTGCGTTTCCCGTTTTTAAATGAGATAGTGGCACACCCGGTGGCATCCTCCCGCCCGGGCTCTTATCGGCGGTCCCAGCCCTGCTTGAGCGCCTCCGGGTGTCACGGGCCTCTGCAAACACCAAAGCTCTCGAACCCCGATGTGGACCCCGGTGCGGCGCGGGGCAGCCTGGCTGGGAACCCTGCTCAGCCCGGGAGAGGGTCCCCATGAGCCGAGGGGCGGAGCGGCGCATGCCCACAAGCCAGCCGCGGGAAGTAGGAAATCGACCCGCCAGGCGGTGCGCTTCGGACCCCGCCAGGGCATGTGCTCCGAGGCCCTCCTGGCTCGCAGGTTGCGAGCGGCGCTGCGGGAGGAGGAGCCGTGGTGAGCGCGGGGCCGGGGGCGGGCCAGGAGTGGGGGTCTTTCACCCGAGTCCACTCTGACCCCGGTGTTTGCAGGGCGGTAGAGGAGCTGCTGCGCTGCGGCGCGGACCCTAATTTGGTGCTGGAGGATGGCGCAGCTGCTGTGCACTTGGCTGCCGGAGCCCGGCACCCGCGCGGCCTGCGTTGCCTCGGGGCCCTACTGCGCCAAGGCGGGGACCCCAACGCTCGGTAAGGTAGAGCCTGGGTCCGGGGCGGGGTCTCCCCAAGCCGAAGTCTGGGAATCCGGGAAGGGGCGCCCCACCATCCCGGGCCAGGGCCTCGGAGCCCGAGGGTGGGGTTTGGGGGAATCTTGGGGAGGGAACTTGGGGGTCCAAGGGCAGGGGCTAGGGCTCGAGGGAGGCGCTGGGGCCCCAGACCGAGGGCGGGGAATGGGGCTGCGCTAGGACCAAGGGTTTCGATCTTGTGGTGGAGGCTCCAGGGTCAGACAGGAGAGGTTTGGGTCCTGGCCTGAGGTCATAGCATCTAGGTTCCAAGGGCAGTGTCCCAGGGTGGACAGTGGAGATCAGGGGGCCGAGAACGAAGGCTCCCGGTCCCCAGAGCGGAGATGGGGGTTCCTGCCGGGAGGCTGAGTCCGCAATGACCCCTCTTGCGCTGCCGCCCCAGATCTGTCGAGGCATTGACGCCGCTGCATGTGGCCGCTGCCTGGGGCTGCCGCCGCGGGCTGGAGCTGCTGCTGAGCCAAGGAGCAAACCCGGCGCTGCGCGACCAGGTTGGGAGGCACTGCGCGGGCAAAGAAAGGCTGGGCGAGCCCAGAGGGAGGGAGGGAGGGAAGGAAGGTAAGAGGGCCTCGAGCGCCCTCTGCTGACCGCGCCTCTGTAGGACGGACTCCGGCCGCTGGACCTGGCCCTGCAGCAGGGGCACCTGGAGTGTGCGCGAGTCCTGCAAGATCTCGACACGCGGACCAGGACCCGGACCTGGATCGGGGCAGAGACCCAGGAGCCCGAGGCTGCACCTGGCAGTGAGTAGGGCCTGCAGGACTGCTGGGGCTTGACTTCTGGACCAGTCCCTGGCATCCACTGTCTCCCCCACCCCGCCTATTGGTTCTGTCTTACATCCACTCTCTGTGGCCAGCTTTTTCGGCCTCAGACATTCCTATCTCCTTTTTATGTCTGATCCTATTCCCATCGCTGTCTCATCCCTCCTCCTCTCCTCTCTGACCCCCACTCTCACCTGCAGCTCCAGGCCTCTCTGGATCTCCTGATGAGATGCTGGACTCCATAGCACTCCAAACGCAGCCATGCAGAGGTGACAACAGGGACATGGACTTGGAGGCTGACCCAGGACCCCCCAGCCTCCCTGTTCCCCTTGAAATTGCGGACAAAGATGGGAGCTCAGCGTCCCCTCCAGGGCACTGGGATTACAGCTCAGATGCCTCTTTCATCACAGCAGTTGAGGTCTCTGGAGCGGAGGACCCAGCCTCGGACACTCCCCCCTGGGCTGGGTCATTGCCACCGACCAGGCAGGGACTTCTGCATGTTGTCCATGCCACCCAGAGGGTACCTAGGTCTCAGGGCACGGAGGCAGAACTGAATGCCCGTCTGCAGGCCCTGACTCTGACCCCACCAAATGCTGCTGGCTTCCAGTCCTCCCGTTCCTCCATGCCTCTCCTAGACAGGAGTCCAGCTCATAGCCCCCCCCCGACACGAGCCCCTGGAGCTTCTGACTGCCACGGCCTGTGGGAGCACCAGACATCCATTGATAGTGACATGGCCACGCTCTGGCTGACAGAGGATGAGGCAAGCTCTACAGGTGGCAGGGACCCTGTCGGCTGTTGCCAGCACCCGCCAGTCTCCATTGTGTCTGACTTGGAGTTGCTGCAGGGGCTGCGAGCGCTTGGTGAGAATCCTGGCCCTGTCACACCCTTCACCCGGCGATTCTACCTCCAGCGGCTGAAAGAAGCCCAGATTGCCCCTGGTTAGTCTCCCCAGGGCACGTGGAATCCAGGGAGCCTCCAGGAATCTCCCAGAGAACCCCAGCTCTCCTCCCCACTTCCCTCCCCATCTCAGAATCATCCCTTCCTCCATCTCCCTTGACTTCCAGAGTTTTCAGGGCACAGCCTAGAACTGGCTGCAGCCCTGCGGACAGGCTGTATTCCAGATGTCCAGGCAGATGAAGACGCGCTGGCCCAGCAGTTTGAGCAGCCAGATCCCGCCAGGAGGTGGCGGGAGGGGGTCGTAAAGTCTAGCTTCACATATTTGCTGCTGGACCCCAGGTACTTAGGGCAGGAAAGCCCCAGAAATGGAAGCTAGAAAATTTGGGGATTGTTTTTTATTCGCTGTGTACCCTTAAGAAAGGGACTGGCCCTCTCTAATCATCAGCTTCTTCTTCTTCTTTTTCTTTTTTAAGACGAAGTTTCATTCTTGTTGCCAAGGCTGGAGTATGATGGTGCCGTCTCGGCTCACTGCAACCTCCACCTTCTGGGTTCAAACAATCCTCTTGTCTCAGCCTCTCAAGTAGCTGGGATTACAGGCACCCGCCACCACACCCGGCTGATACTTGTATTTTTGGTAGAGACGAGGTTTAAACATGTTGGCCAGGCTGGTCTTGAACTCCTGATCTTAGGTGATCCGCCCACCCTGGCCTCCAAAAATGCTGGAATTACAGGTGTGAGCCACACCAGCCTCTTTTTTTTCCTTTTTTTTTTTTTTGAGGCAGAGTCTCACACTTTCACCCAGGCTGGAATGTAGTAGTGCAATCTTGGCTCACTGCAACCTCTGCCTCCTGGGTTCAAGCGATTCTTGTACCTCATCCTCCCAAGTAGTGGGATTACAGGCATGTGCCACCATGCCTAGCTAATTTTTTTTTGTAATTTTAGTAGATATGGGGTTTCACCATGTTGGCCAGGCTGTTCTCAAACTCCCGGCCTCAAGTGATCCTCCTGCCTTGGCCTCCCAAAGTGTTGGGATTACAGGCGTGAGCCCCAGCCGGCCATGGTGGCTCACGCCTGTAATACCAGCACTTTGGGAGGCTGAGGTGGGCGGATCACATGAGGTCAGGAGTTAGAGATGAGTGTGATCAACATGGAGAAACCCCATTTCTACTAAAAATACAAGATCAGCCAGGCGTGTTGGCACATACCTGTAATCCCAGCTATTCGGGAGGCTGAGGCAGGAGAATCGCTTGAACCAGAAAAATAATTTAGTATTTAGTAATTACACCAAAAAGCAACCAATCTAATTCAGAGTATTGACAAACTAAAAAAAAAAAAAAAAAAAGCAAGCTGCTGAATGTCTTTGGGGAGCCACTGCCTTTCTCTGATCCTGTAATCAGGAGTCACTGGACATGTGACTTTAAGGACTGCCTCTGGGGACCACTCTATCCACTTTTCCCTGTCTGGGATGCCCCCTTCATCCAGGGAGACTCAGGACCTGCCAGCCCGAGCCTTCTCACTGACCCCAGCTGAGCGCCTTCAGACTTTCGTCCGTGCCATCTTCTACGTGGGCAAAGGGACGAGGGCCCGGCCATATGTCCACCTCTGGGAAGCCCTTGGTCACCATGGGCGGTCAAGAAAACAGGTGTGAGGACAGGGATCAGGGTTCAGTAAGGGCAGTCAGGCCATGGGCAGGGGAGGGGATTGGGGGTGCTGACTCTGGACTCTGCCCTAACCCCCCCAGGCCTGCCCCAAAGTGCGTCAGATCTTGGACATCTGGGCCAGTGGTTGCGGCGTTGTGTCCCTACATTGCTTCCAGCATGTGGTCGCTGTGGAGGCTTATACACGGGAGGCGTGTATTGTGGAAGCCCTAGGTGGGTGCCTGGTACATAGAATGGGGGTCATATGAAAAGCATTTGGCTTTCTAGTTCCCTCATTTTTCTTCCTTCTGAGGGGTGTTCATTTGTTGACTGAGCAATCATTGAGCACCAACTTTGAAGCTGAACATGCATGTATTTTGCTCCACTGGTTTATCCCCACTCAAGGGCAATACACGTTGGGTTTGCTGTCACATACTTCTGTGTGTGTGTGTGTGAGACTCTGTCGCCCAGGCTGGAGTATGGTGGCATGATCCCAACTCACTGCAGCCTCTGCCTCCCAGGTTCAAGCGATTCTTGTGCCTCAGCCTCCCAAGTAGCTGGGATTACAGGCACATATCACCATATCATGCCAAACTAAGTTCTGTATTTTTAGTAGAGATGGAGTTCCACCGTGTTGGCCAGGCTGGTCTCGAACTCCTGGCCTCATGTGATCTACCCAAAGTGTTGGGATTACAGGCGTGAACCACCATACCCAGCCGCCTGCTGTCACACACTTCTGGATGAGGAGGTGTCCCCATGGCTGCCCCTGTGACCTCATATCCAATTTCTCCAGGGATCCAGACGCTCACCAACCAGAAACAAGGGCACTGCTATGGAGTGGTGGCAGGCTGGCCACCTGCTCGTCGCCGGCGCTTGGGGGTGCACCTGCTGCACCGCGCCCTCCTCGTCTTCCTGGCTGAAGGCGAGCGACAGCTTCGTCCCCAGGACATTCAGGCCCGGGGCTGAGTGCTGGGGAGTTGGCCATCCAGCCTGGGAAGAAATGTTTGAATGTTCCAGCTGCCCTGTGCTGACAGCAGCCCCCATCTCTGGTTTCAGAAGTGGGGTGTGTGTGTGTAGGGAGCACCAGGGCAGATCTCCTCCAGTCTGAGAGAGGACTTTGTTACAGATGGTACTCCTGGAGGGGTAGTAAGTAGTGAGCTCCCCATCATGGGAGGAGGACAAGTAGGGAAGCAGAAGGTGCTTTGGAACAGTCCAGTGCTTCTGTCAGAGGCGTTTGAACCTGGGCAACTCCACCTTGAATAGGAGCTGGGTAAAATGGGGCTGAAACCTACTGGGCTGCATTCCCAGACGGTTAAAGCATTCTAAGTCACAGGATGAGGTAGGAGGTCAGCACAAGATAATGGGTCATAAAGACCTTGCTGATAAAACAGGTTGCAGTAAAGAAGCCGGCCAAAATCCACCAATACCAAGATGGCGACAAGAGTGACCTCTGGTCGTCCTCATTGCTACACTCCCACCAGCGCCATGACAGTTTACAAATGCCATGGCTGGCCAGGCGCCGTGGCTTATGCCTGTAATCCTAGCACTTTGGGCGGCCAAGGTGGGCAGATCACCTGAGGTCAGGAGTTCAAGACCAGCCTGGCCAACATGGTGAAACCCTGTCTCTACTAAAAATACAAAAATTAGC